TACATGTATTTTATAAACAGGGATCTAAGTCAATCTGAGAGGCTAGCGTATGGGATCTCAGACAACTTGATTCGATTCAGTTTTGGAGTTGAGGACTTTGAGGATTTGAAGGCAGATATGCTTCAAGCTCTGGAGGCCATATAAGGCGCAATTTCTTGCTTTTTATTACAGTACCATGTTTTGTTCTAAGGATGATTTTTCATCCCCTAAAGATTTCTCTTCATTGCGGTTGGTGATTCATTTAAATGATTCCTGATTTTCCCGATGTGACGTATTTGCTTATTTCATAAGAAATCAGTCATTTTCATTGTTATTTGCTGTTGCTCTTTGTTACCTGTCTGTTTGTCAAGTTCTGGTGGCAAGATTTTAGGTTTTGGGTTTTGATTGAGAACTTCTCTTCAATTTATTATAGAAAATTGCGCAATTTGTTATAATACACAAACTCTTATATGTGGCTGGCCACACCGTATGACCAGTCATTATAGGGGTTACTTCGTTAATGCTATAAGAGTTACTTGCTCAGTGTTATAGGGGTGGTTACTTCGTCAGTAGTAAAGGGCTACTCGGCCAGTATTAAAGGGGTTATTTTGCTCTTTTATAAGCGGTGACACGGTGTTGACAGCCGCACACAAGACGGGCTGATTATAATCATGTTTTTGTTTGTCAAGTTCTCTCTCCTTAAGCTTATCACTGTACATATTTTATTTTTATTTTTTATTTTTTTACCAGAGTTTATCACATACAGTAAATAAAGTTAAGACTTGTGCTTTTCTTGTCCTTTATCTGTTCCAGTTTGCAAAAAATCGGTCCTTTGTTTTGTGAGTTGCATTATTTGCAAAAACATAGATTCCTAGACAGGAGAAAGAAAAAAGAGGAATAGTGTGATATGAGAGAGGTAGAGATAAAAGGAAAGTGGCGTATCTAATTTGAATATTTTTTTATTTAAAAATTCAATTTATCTAATCTGAATTTTCTATGTAGTTGGCAACATCGTGTGGTCAGAGTTAAGGATGTTCATTGTTCTAAGACTGGACCAGATCGAAAAAATGAACTTCAAGAACCGAAGACCGGACCGATTAAGCCAGGATCAAATTCGGACCGGACCGAAAAAATGGGTCCAAAACCCGGACCGGACCGATTGTAGAATTTTTATTAAAAAAAATTCTAAATTTTAAATAATTTATGAAAAATTCGAAAAAAAAACAATATTTTAATGTCTTTTTTTGTATGTTTTGTACAAAAAATCTCATACAACTAAAGTTTTTCAAGGTTATTAAAGATAATCTTAATCATTATTAAAGGTTTTATGTATAATTTTAAGCAAAAATTGGTCCGATCCAAGACCGATTTTTATAGGGTTTTGGACCAGACCGAAGACCGGAAAAATAAATTTCTCAACCCGGAGACCGAACCGAGGTCATCCGGACTGGTTCGGTCCATTTTTTTTAACCCGAACCAATTTTTGAACACCTCTAGTCGGAGTTACTTATTAGGGGTTACTTATTTAGGAGTACTTAGAGGCTGTTTAGTTCACCTGATTTTAGCTTATCTGATCTGAACTTATTTTTTCTGATCTGATCTGAACTTATTTTTTCTGATCTGAACTTATTTTTTCTGATCTGATCTGAACTTTTTTTTTTTTTTTCTGATTTGACCTTATTTTAATTATTTCAATATTCTACTTTTAATGTTAATCAATATTAATGTTTAATTATTATTGTTATTATTATTATTATCATTATAATAATTATTATTATTATATGATATTATATTACTATGATATTATATTATATTATTATTATTATTATTATTATTATTATTATATTGTATTATATTGTATTATATTATTATTATATTATATTATATTATGTTATTATTATTACTATTATATTATATTATATTATATTATATTTTTATTATTAAATAATAATAATATCATTATTGTTAATGGAATTGTTTCTAAAATTTCAAAAGGTGAGATTGTTTCTGGAAGATGGAGCAAAGGTGTGATTATTAGATTTCATTTTCCTTTTTTTATTTAAGCTTTTATATTTAACTTGTTTAGTGCGTTTAAGTGCTTTTTTATTCATTTGTTCCTCTATTGAACCTTTTTTTATTCATGCGTGTATGGTTGTGTGGGAATGACACACTGACCCGTTTTAACCCATCAAAACCCGAATTTAACCCGACCTGAATTCAACCCAACCTATTCCTATCCCGACCCGAATTTAACCTGACCTATTACTAACCCGACCCGAATTTAACCTGACCTATTACTAGCCCGACCCGAATTCAACCCGATCTATCATTAACCCGACCTGAAATCAACCCGACTTGTTATTGACCCGAAATTAACTAGCAATCTAGGATTACGTCATATTTTTTTTTTCTTTCCCTAATTCTATGAGTTATTTTCCTATTTAAGCTTATTCAAATATTTTCAAAAAAATTCTCTATTATCAAATGTATTATAATTTACGTCTCAAAAAAACCTAGGAAAATTTATGAATACCACTACTTTTTGGATGCATGTGCATTCTTTATTCAAATTTAGTAATTACTATTTACGAATACTACTACTTTGTAGGTGCATGTGCATTAATGTAGTCAACCCGAAATGAGCCGAACCGAATTAATCCGACCCACACTTCACACTTCACAATTGGCAATTATGGTTGCTACATTCATACTTCACAATTTTATTCGAATACATGAGTTGGATATACCCATTGATAGTGGTATAGAAATCGAACCAAGAGCAGATTATGATTTGTTTAACGAGAATTAATATAGCTGTAATGAAAGAAGTACAACTTAATATAGCGAAGGAAATTTGGAACTTCTTGTAATGAAAATTATATTTGTAAACGTTTATGATTTGGAGCTTATAATGAAATTTTAATTATTATCGTTTATTGTTTGTGCTATTTAATAACATAGACAATATTGCTAGTTCAACAAACGATAAAATCAAATCCGATACATCATAAATCAATAATAATAATAATAATAATAATAATAATAATAATAATAATAATAATAATAATAATAATAATAATTTGATCTGAACTTATTTTTTCTGACCTGATCTGAACTTATTTTTTCTGATTTGATCTGATCTGAACTTATTTTTCCTGATCTGAACTTATTTTTTCTGATCTGATCTGAACTTATTTTTTCTGAAATAAGTAAAAATAAGGTGAACTAAACAGGGCCTTAGTTGATTAAGGGTTACTTATTTTTGGGTTATTCAGTCGGTCGAGGGTTACTTATTTTGGGGTTATTTAGTCAATTAGTGCATTTTATGTGTAAGAGTAACCCCTGACCGACCGAGTAACCCATGAATAAGTAATCCCTAATTGATCGAGTAATCCGTGATCGACCGAGTATAACCACAGAATAAATAACCCCTGAATAAGTAACCTCGGCTACATAATGTGACCAACCACATATGAAAATTTTTGATCAAATTAAAGATATGGAGGAAGTAATTAGGCCACAAATTTTACTCATTTCTATTCTAATCCAGTTCTTGTAGTAGCACTATATTAATATCACCATTAGTTTTACTTTTGAAACCCTTTGGAGGGTAATTATTAACCGCAAGTAATTTCTAAATTAATCAATCTAACACATTAACTCCATCAATGGGGGATAACACAAACCTTCAAACCTTTGCTTTAAACTCCATTTTCTCTCTCTCCTTGCCTTTGTTTAAGATTCATTCAATTTTAAATCCCAAATACACTGCCTATTTCCTCCTAAGGTTGTCAAAAGCTATTGCAACATGATAACCCAACGCAAACTTGACTTGAAATAAGGTTGTCAATAAGTCTCGATCCATTTAAATAATTGGGTTGACACGAAGATAAACGGGTTTGGGTTTCAACCCAAAATCGACACGTGTAATTCAATTATAAAAATTGTTCGACTTTTAACCAATTAGCTCAACTCGACAACACCTTTTATATAAACCTGGTTGTACTTAGAGGTAGGTGTATCCAAATATTATTTTTTCCTCATTTGATTTTTCTACTCATTTTAATAAAAATACCATGAGTAAATTATACCCTTGGGAACACCGTGCAAGGTGTATACAAATTTTTTTAGGGAAATTCTCAATAGTCACCCCCTTCATTTTTTATTACAAATTTCCCTATTTAAGAATTTATCCCACTTACAACTTTATTTACTTAAATAGTTAGTTAAAGTTAACTATGGTTAGGATTTTTTTTTTTAAAAAAAAAAAAAATAAAAATAAAAATAAAGAATAAGTAAAAAAAAAGTCAACCTACCCTACCACCAACCCAGCCGCCCCCACCACCACCTCCGCCTCCACCGTCACTATTACCCTCACCTAGCCACCACCAGACCTCGACCCCGAACGCGAATCTCAACCTTGACCACCGCCTAGAACGCCACTTGACCCAAAACCACTGCCTCCACTCTCTCTCTCTTTATCCTATGACCTATTTTTTGCCCTCTCCTCTGCCCAGAACTAAATTTCATAAATATCATACTTTTGACCAAGGTCAGGGCCGGTGGGGGTGGTGGTTTCGAGTCTAGGCGGGCGAGGGTGGTGGTTTCGAGGTCTGGATGGGATGGGGGCTTGGGGTTTTGATCAGGGGTCTAGATGGGGTGATGAGTGGATGTGGTGGTTTCGAGGTGGGAGTGGGAGTTGGGGTTTCGAGGTATGGGTGGGCAGGGATTGGTGTTTCGGGCTCAGGTTGGGGGTGGTGGCGGTGGTTTCGCGGAGGAATGATGGGGTGGTTGTAATACTCCGTATTTTTATAATATTTCTTATATATAAATTATATATTTTATTTATAAATCAAAATGATTTATTTCATTTTAAATGAATTAATTATTTAATTATAAAATAAGTGTGTATAAATTAATATGAGTATTAATTGAGGTAATAAAATATTTCAAATAATTGGACCAATTTCATTTAAAGTATTGGACTAGCTTGTTGGGATTAAAGTAGTTTTTAAGGGCCCAACAAGTTTGCCCCAAAGAAGATTTCAAAGGAGAATAGGATTAGTAATGACAATTGTGTGAATAAATGATTTTGTTTATTTAAAGGGGATACAAATACTCAAAAATCAAATGTCAGATTTCTCAAAAGACCCAAACTTTTCTCTTTTATTTGTATCTCTCTTTTTCCTCTCTTTCCCACGTCACTCTCTCTCCTCTTTTCCTCACAATCGACGACCACCATCGGCGCCACCACCGACCACTGACGTCACCACCGGCGGCCAGCAGCATCACTGAAAGCTCAGCCGGCCACCATCGTCCCTCTTTTCTCTCTCCTTTGTGCGGTTTTGGTATTAAAGAAAAAGAAACTTTTTTCTCCTATTTTAATTTCTAAGCTTGTTTAATTATTTCAAAGCATGATTTTAATTATATTATGATGTTGTTAATTTATTATTAATGTTTTCAGATTATAATTTTATTAAAAATCCCAATTTACAAACCCTAGAATTTGGATATTTGATGTTTATAATTAGGGTTTGATCCTAGATTGTTGTGGTTGTTAATTAATGATAAGAACATATTTTTAAGTGAGTTTTAAGCCCTTAATTAATGCTGAAATTTTATTATATACACTACTTTTTAATTATTATGTTAGGATTTGATTACCCATAAAAGAGAAAAGGTTTTTAATGATTTAAATATGATTTTTTGGTTTGTTAGTGATGTTTTATATTAAATAAGTATGGTGAAATTTTATTTAAGTCATGAAAACTAAGTCTTTTTGAAAGAGATTTAAGTACCCACTTAAAGAAAAGGTTTTAAGGCTTTTAAACCATTAAATTTGGGTTAATTAGTGAGGTTTAATATATATAATAGTTGCTGGAAATTTGTGGTTATAGTGGATTAATTATGGTTATATATTAAGCTAGGTGACTTCTAGCAAGTGTGGCCGAGTTTAGGCATTATTGAAGGTACATATGCACATAAAACTAATTGTGTATGCGTAGTATCATGATAGGAATGAAAAGTAAGTATCAAGTGATGAATTAGTAGCATGTTTGGTTGATCAAATGCTTGGATTTGATGTTGGTTAATCATGAATTATTATGCAAGTATGTGAACATGTTATTTGAGGTATGATACAATTTGAATATGTATGAATCATGGAAGTATGTTTTATTTTCAAGTATCAAGGAAGCATGAAATTAATAAGCAAGACTTATGTATGTTTAAAAGAGCTAAGATTATAATTATTGAGCATGATTAATGATTTTATTTCTCACCCATATATTATTGGAGTAGAGTCAAGAAGTTAGTTTATTTATTTACTCACTCATATAAGTTGAGATTGACTCAATGAAGTTTATTAGTGCATCTTATACACCAAGGTAGTAATAATGCAATTTTGTACACAAAATTAGGCAAGGAACCTTAATTAAAATAAATTGTATGTGCTCACTAATTAATTCAAGAATGAAATGGAAATGTGTGTTGATGATTATATTATTATGTTTGTTCTTGATTAATTGATTGGAGTCATTATAAGTTAAAGTGGTAAATCACGTAAAGTGTAAGAGTTTAAAAAAATAATCATTTATGAAAATAAGGTTATTTATTTGATTTAATATAAATTAATATAAATATTACCAACACAGATTGAGAAGTAATATAAATTACCTACTTTATTGTTTTAATGATTATTTGAACTTTGATAGAAGCTTCTAGCTGAAAATAACACGAACTACATGTTCATATGTCGATTTCTCTTTTTCTTTTTTAATATTGATTGTTTGATGTGTATTTATTGTAATCCACTGACTAGATTAACAAAATTGCTTTGTTTCTTGTGTAAACATTAAGTCAATATTTCCATGTCTGTTCAATTTTACTGGTTATCGTTCTCCCACGTCCACATATGCAACATATATTGGTGATTGTTGAAAGTGCATCCTTTCGCTTTCCTTTTCTTTCAGGTACTAAGAGGAAGAACACTGGTACTGGCAACGGGAAAGCTTCAAGCAGTTCTTTTGGAAGTTTTTTTGAAGGTTTGTAACATTTTGCAGAGTATCTGCAATGTGGACTTATCAATCAGCGAATGTGTTGATGCCCCGCACTTGTCCTTAGATGTTGCTTTTGATGTGCACGTCATGCTTCATATAGCAATTTTGTTAAGGTTCTAAACTTTTTATTATAATTATTTTGTTTTAAAATACCGCAGAATTTAATGGTTATAATTTTTTATCTGTCCTACTTTTTATGATGTAGTAATCTGCAATTTGTGTAGTATTTTGGTCCTAAGTTCCCATTTAGGCTAATGTTATTTTCCTTTTCTTCACATCTGATAAGATGGAACTAGCTACATTTTCTCAAGTTCATTTCTCCAAATTAATAGATAGATATAATCATATGGTAAGGCTCTAACATTTAGCCAAGGCATTGTAAAGTTGCATTTCATATTGTGTTGACACTACCAAATAACTATTCATATAATTTACTTCTATTATACTTCCGTTTAGTGTAGCATCTAAACTTTTGCTCTATTTCTTGTATGTGTTTTTTTTCTATATAACAATAGATGCTAAATATTAGAATTATTAATGTACAAAGTTAAGAATTAACAAGTGTAATAGTCAAGATGTTAAATGACAAGAAAGATGGAAAATTTCTCTCAAAAAAAATGGAAAAGGTTCTCTTGAGAACTCATGTCATGAATTTGAGCTACCTAAGAGGCTAAGACCATGATCTGCAACTAGACTACTTTTACATGGTTTTTGAAATTTCATGATCTAGTTATATGACATTTGATATTTCATCAATATAATGATTATTGGATATTAAGCAAATTAGCTAAAAGCCAATGATGACATAATTTGGATCTGCTAGATTATGCTGCAACTTTTGTTATCCAATGTTTTGGTTGGCATTGATACCCCAAATATTGATCACTGAAAAAACTCACCCACTACTTAAATTGGCTTTAACTTGTATATGAAAAATAACCAGTTTTCAAAGCTTGCATATAAAATTTGCACCATAAACTTATTACATAAACCAAATTTTAACTTATGCAACCTAATTAAACATGAGGTGCTCGTTGTCTTAAAGTTTGCCCCATGTCCATACTTGTCTTGGATCATGCTGCTGCACCAAGTTGGTTTACTTGGAAGACTTGGTTAAAGTGTTTACTACTTCCTAAAAGCTTTTTACAATTCTCAAAAATACGGCATTGTTAAATTTTCAAGTCGTCCTTGGTTGATAGTATTGACACTAATAACTTCCACACATTAACGAGCTTTATAACTCCGAATTTTTAATTTAAAGCTAATCAATTTTTAAAAATACCATGACTTCAACATAATAGCAGAAAATCTACCAAAATTATATTGATACTTACACAATTCTAGTCTATCGTGCCCTGAAATTAATCACCTAAGCAAAAAGCCATAAATTATACACTTCCCCATTTCTCTTAAAAATAATCAGTACCATGCAACTGGCTAGATATGTTACAGAGCAACAAAATGTGCAAATGCAAGTTCTATGAACTCCTTGTGCTAAGTTTGACTTGCCATTCAAAAAGCATTCTTAGAACCCTAAACAAAAGTCGAGCAAAGTAGAGAAAGACTAAGAAAAATGGTGCTTGATGTTCTTGTAAGTTGTAAGCTGCGACAAGTCCTTGTTGCCTACTCACTACATCTACACATAAGTAAATCCACGAATCTGTTCAAAAGCCATGGATCTTGCTTGAATATCTTTGTACATCTTTCTTCCTGTAGGTACAAAGAGAATATTGGGAGCATATTAGTGAGATACGGAACTTTCATCATGTTAATATAATCATCGGAGGAGGGATTAAAGCTCATTACCTTCAATCTAAATGAATCTCCTTTACAGCTCTCCTTCTCTTGCACTCTTTGATTGGCATCAACTCAAACTTGCACCTGTCAATAGCAAACATTGGAAAACAAGAATAAGATAATGTTAAAACCCAACATAGTCCCATTATAAAAAGATGTAATATGTAATTAAATAAAAAATAAATTTTACGCCTCCCATTCAAGAGCAGCTATGTTACTTTCTCTGTTATCACAGAAACAATACATACACCCTTCACCAATGCTAATTTCCAAAAAATTAACTTTTAGTGATTTCATACATCCAACATATTTTGCAAGACATGTCAATATTTGAAAGGGATCCGATGCAAGCACAAGAAGATGTGTTTCAGTTCCTAACTTTATACTAACAAACCTAACAAATATCATATATGACGATTTTTAGGCATCAAATGAAAAAATAAATAAATAAATAAAAAGAGTATCATTCTAGTCCTAAGATCAGAAAATACTAAAGATAATGTTTTGTGAGTTCAAGTTGAACTTCTTCAATTCAAATCCAGGAATTGAAACGCTAAAATTAAATTGCAAATCAAGTGTTCGGAAAAAACAATAACAATTTTTATTCCACCATAGTGCTTTGTAGCATTTCACTCAGAAATGAAATCAGCTAGGGTTGCAGAGCAGAATTGAATAAAAATAGTAATAGCTTACAAACTAATTATATTGTCAGGGATTAAGAAATTGGAAAATACCGTCCAAAACAAAATAAGTAGGAATTTTAGGCAGTAATTGACACCATTTTCAACATAAATACTACCTTTGTTTCTACGGTTCTTAACATTTAACTATTTGCATACAAAATTAAGCCAATTGAAGAGAGAATGTTGATGTGGTGGGTGGACTGTATTACAATGTCTGACTGCAAGCTACCACTGGTGGGTTAGATATGGAAATTTCTACCAAAGACATACTCAAATCTGTATTTAATTCTTTAAAATACAAGAAAACTCCAAAAGATGAGTAGGGACACAGGCTTAATCTTCGCAAGGAGAGCTCAGACACAGGCTGTGTATCTGACACCCAATGAAAAGGAAGAATGCAACATAATTAAACGCCCTTTAAGAACAAGAACTGGGACAAGACTAACCTATTTGAAAACTACAATTTACTTTCAACAATTAAACTTCATATAGAATTTGGGACTGTAAAACTCAAATTTGTTAAACCTTGATACTATGATGCCATAATCTAATTGGAGCCTATTACTGCTACGTTACTACCAAACAAAACAAAGCAAGAATAACAATCACTAGAGAGAAAAGGAATGCTTTTACTTTAATTAAATCCACTTCCTAATGAAACCAACAGCTCAAAAGTCAAATTACCCCCTTTAAACATTATTCTAGGCTTTTTCATGAGTCCTCCTTTGATGAAACATTAATAGTACGCTTTAGTGATAGCTGTTCACAAGACAAAGTAGCCAGTACCAACAATCCTAATTCCTAAATTAACATGCAATTGAACTTTGGAAGGAGTAGAAAAATTACAAGCAGCAAGGAGAAGAAAACTTACAGTTGGGGTGGCAAGAAATAAGCCAGCTTATAGTTTTAGCTCTGATCACCAGAACTTGGCCTACGCCCACCACGGCTACCTCGGGCACCTCGACTTCGTTTCATTGGCACTCGCCCTCTCCTTGCAGCAGGAGAAGGAGTGGAATCTGGTGCAGGGGAACGTCCAAGCCTAGCTGCAGCCCGCTCCTTAGCTCTTTCAGATATCATTATAATTGTTGAGCTTGCTCTCATATGTGAAGGCTGAGTTGCTTCCTGACTAGCCATCACATTGGGACTATCTTCTCTGGAAATAGAAGATTCCACAGAACTCAGATTACCTTCAGCAACACCTAAACTAATTTCACTGGTAAGTTCAGCATCCCCAGCAATTTGATCGTTGCCTTCAGTAGATATATTTGAATCGTCAGCAACATCTTCAGCTAGTTCCCCTTCTTCAGTCTGATCATTAGCATTTGAAATCTCAGGAGAATTTGTGTCATTGACTTCTGCATTGACAGCAGCTACAGGATCATCATCATTTGGAGCTGGAGATGGGATTGAAGCTGCAGTTGAATGATCAGGCTGAACTTCAGATGCATCTTGAATTTCCACAGTAGCTGTGTCATCTCCACCATCAAGGTCAGAACCTTCTGGGAGCATTCCTCCTTCTTCTCTGTCAGCAACATCAGCCATCTGCTGATTAAAATCCTGGTCAGCCTGCAAATTTGATGATTCATCTAACATTAGATCAGCCTCACTTGGCTTCTCAGCATGCTCTTTATCAACGATTCCACAATCATTCTGTGCATCTGCTAACTTTTCCTCATCTGGATGATTAGATTCTCCAGGCTCCTTTCCAAGTCCTTGAAATGGTTCAAAATCATCCTTGCCAAAATCAGAAGCTTCCTCGATAGAGTCTTGAGGCAAGAAAGCAGCTGCATCAAGTAATTCTTCAACTGTTGGAACAACTTCAACGTTATCAAGAGCAGCAGAGGTTGCTTGAACATCCTCTTGAACAGGTTCTAAGCCCTTGGACTTTTTAAGAGCAGGCGCAGGCAAATCAGAACTAGAATCTCCAGGCAAAGATGATTGCTCTTCCAGCTCAGAAGGAGATGGAGAAGCAGGGTATTTCCGAACAAGAGGTTCACCGGACAAAGAGACAGAGGGCTGCGCTACCAAGCTAGGCCTCCCCACATTCTTGCCATCCAACTCTGACATTTCAACATCACGCTGGGCATCTTCAGATTTAAGAAGTCGAGGTCTAACCAACTTCCTCCCAGTTTTTCGTGTTTCAACCATGGTTTTCATAACTCTCTTCTCTCTTTCTTCAGTTACTTTTGTGGGTGGGCAAGTTGCAGAAACCATGGATGAAATCATACTCGAACCTTCAGCAGGGACTGCCTGAGAGCTACCAGCTACAGATGGAACTGTATCTGTGGCTGAAGAGTTACTAACAACAGCCTGGTTCCGTATGTTTTAATCCTGTCTTTTCATCCCCACAGTCAAGCACATAATTGTGATCATAGCCCATGCCAACTTTATCAATATCCTGACTGATCCTCTTCTCCAAAATAAAATCGAATGGTGTGCCTTTAACTGAGACAATTTCTCCGGTTGGGACTGTGTTCTCGTCAACTGGGGTGTAGTGATTTGCCCATATTTGAATATGATGGTCAAGCACAGGCCCTGAATTGTGCCCTGCTAGATTCCAATATGTATGTTGAGCAAGATTGACTGGAGTGGCCTTGTTCTCAGCGACAGCTTCCATGTCTAGCCTCATGGTTGTTTTGGAAGTAAGAGTATATGTTGCAGTCACAGAAAGATCACCAGGATAACCTGTTTCATGAAGAACATTTCTTAGGGCTTTGTTTGGAAAACAAATAGATTTAGCATCAGTTTATTTTACAAATAGGTGGATGTTAGAAATTTGTACTAGGAAGTTTAACTCTATTGGAGTATATTCAGTATAATGATAGCGTTAGCAGATTCTTTCAAAATGTTAATATATATTAATCAGGCCTACAGAAACACGGTAAGGAATTACAAATAGATTGAGAATTAAAACTATACTAAGTGATATTTTGTATTCTCTTCCAAACACTTAATTTAGTGTATAAACAAGGTGTAAAATATGCTAAATGTTCTTTGATGTAAACTCTGAAACACACACTAAAAAATTCAGTAGTCAGCAGAAGAGGGAAGTGACAATAGAGAGCATACCTTCCTCGTCATCATGATTGGGATACTTAAAAGTAATCGAGGGAGTGTCGTTTTTCTCATAGGCAACTACATTCCATATCTGCTTGTCAAATCCTTTATGGCCACCTAAATGAAAAGATCGAAAATTATAAGGAAACACATAAGGGGAAAGTACAGATAAAAGGAACATAATTTGATGTCCAACCTAATCCACATGGAACTAGAATCCAAGCGAAACAATGGCCCAATTTGGAACTAGTTCACATTGTAAAGATGTTAATAATGTCAATTGTAGTGCTTTGGCCACCAGGTCACTTTTTGGGCCTAGATTAACGTAGGCATAAATGCAATGTGGCACTTGATAATCATATAAAAAGAGAAAAAAAGAAAAAACCCTAGGCCTTCAGCGTTCTTGCTGTATTTTCACTTATTAGCAATAGATTCAGGTGGAGTAAGTTAAATTCAATACCAGTTAGTTCAAACAAGTTTAGGGTCAATAAGGGATACCTAAATTCAATTCACTACCACATTTAATTCTAATAGTTCAGAGAGTATATAAAGAACACAGTCACACCCTTTTGAAAGATAACAGGCATAAAGAAGACAGAGTGAAGGCTTGATCCAATAATATTTATTAGATTCTGTCTTCAACAACAAGAAGTCAATATTTACTATATCATAAAGAGGATTCAGAAATTAAATACCAAGACTAGGGAGTCTCACATGACAATTTATAAACAAAGGAAAGCAACAAATAATATCATCTCATATGTCAACAGTCGCAGAGATAAGAGATAACACAAGTTTAAGAATCTCAGAAGCTAAAGTTATCTTACCATGGAGACTATTTGGGGGATTCACAGGCAAAGAGTACTCAACTCCATTAAGTGTAAACTTCCCATTCTTAATTCGATTTGCAACACGACCGACAATGCAACCAAAATATGATCCAGCTCCTTGCTGGGTTAAAAAAATTAGACATCAATTAGCGACAGAAACATTGAAGATCATAGATCATTACTTGTTGCAAAGAAACCCGACAGCTCAAATGTAAGAAATTCAACAGGAAGAACAACTGATGTTGCATTCAGCCTCAAAGGCAAATACAAGTATGTTCGTTTCAGGATCCAAATTTGGGCTTGGATTTATAATTGAGTTTGGTTGACTACAAGAAAAGTCTCACTTACTGACTAACCTAAGTGTATTATCAAGACAACATTACAACCTTTAAGATTTTCCAAAATTGATCTACAATACAGTTCTAAAATTATTAAAATTCATACTCATATCCTATAATTATTGACCCCATTTATAAACCTATTAATGTTCATGAATTCAACCAACAAGCTCATGCCATCTAAAATAATTTTCATCAGAAATTCCAAAAAATCAATAGATAATTTGCGAAATAAACAGACGTTATTCATCAATAAAATACAAAAATTCAAAAAAAAAAAATTATTAATCAAATAAATAATCCAATGCAAAATCCTGGAAAGAAAGAGATAAATTACCAGGTAAGGGTCGACAGAGTCAAATCCCAATACAACATCCGCAAGTTTACCTTCACAAAAATTAGACAAAACCCATCAATTATCATACATGCAATAATAAAACCCAGAAAAGAAATTAAGGAAAAAACTTAAATTAGATGAAAAGATCAGAAATTTTATTGAAAATAAATGTACCGTCTTTGTCAGGGATTGATAAAGAAGTGATTGTGCAGCCATAGTTTGAGATTTTTACATGCATTGAACCATTGTCGAGCTCAAAGATCTCAGCCTGCTTTCCTTGATCTGCCATTAGAAAGAGAGAGGGGAATTTAACTGGATGTTTATCTTTTTCTTTGTGAGGATTACTAACTTTATCAATTTTATGAATTCAGCTTTTATATATGCTCCCAGATAAATGGATATGGATTAAAATTATGATATGGATATAAATATAAATTGTGATGACTGATCTTTTGGAAAACTCTTGACTTCATCTCTATTAACTGTTTAAAACTTTAAACTAGCTTGTTAGAGTTTGAAGGTTTAAAGCTAGCTTGTTTGACAAATTGTTTGCATTAGCGTATTACGTAAAAGTGTTTTATAATTAGCCGGTAGTTATTTTTTTTAAAGAAGAAGTAAGTAGGTATAATATATTAAAGATCAAGTTTCGTCAAAGCAATTAAACTTTAGGGGCATAGGTGCATTTAGTTAGTTACTTTATTGTGTAAAATGGTCAATAAGTCAATAAGGATATAATCTATATTACTACCTCCGTTAAATGTTATGTGCAATTTTGAAGGGGGTTGCGGTTACCAAGGCAAAACTTAAAGGGCAAAGATTAGGAAAAGTTTTGTAAAGTAATTAAAGGAAGAGGAGAGAGAAAGTAGGACCCATCCACTTGCAAATTGGTGGGGAAATCTGCTAATTTTAGGAGGGACTTGTTTTCCCTCCCAATTTTTCACCAAAATTTCGAATTGAGTGAAATTTTGGGTGAGGTTTCATTTCCCTCCTATTTTATTTTTTTTGAAAAAAATAGCATACATTCAGATTTTTAACCTGCATTTAAACCAAGCATTCATCATTTATGAGGCTTATACATACTAGCCCCCAAATCTGTCACAAGCATTTAATGTTGCACACTTAATTATAAATTAGAAATTTTTCAAAAGGTCAAATGTTTACCCAAAAGTTAGCACTAACTATCCATGATTAGCCCATATTTACCCAAAAAATTCCCTTAAACTAAAATTAGTGCTTCACATCTTCAATCTTCATCATCTTCATAAACCTAGCAACCTTCATTATCTACATATTCACCTAGGGCAGCTTCATCTCCTAAAAAAAAAAAAAAAAAACAGCAGCCAGCCCTATATCATCAACCTCAATCTGAGGAAAAAAAAAAATCGGACAAAAGGCATGGCATAATTTATTGAAGCTCTGTTCTATGATGTTGATCAAATACTAACAGAGGAAACAATGGCAGAAATCTACTAGGATCAATAAGAAGAAATGCAAGATGAAGACTTAGAGCAATATGAAACATCAATTGAAAACATGCAAGAAGAAGAAGAAGAAAATGGGCAGCAAGGCACACAAGATGTTCACATTGCACATGAAGAGGATGAAGACAATGACATGAAAGCATTCAATGAAGTTGGGAATCAACAAGCACAAAGGAAGCAGCTCACTTTGCAAAAGAAAAGGGAAATTGTTGATGTAATGTTGGTGTAAATGCACGATGGGAACTTACCAAGGCGTCACAAGAAGATTTTATCAGTTCAATTCAATGTTCACAAATCAACAATCACTAGAATATTCACTGACATTAAAAAAACAGATGGCACAGGGGAATTTGATTGATGTCAGGACTAAGAAGTATGGCAAAATAGGTCCAAAGCCAAGGAAATTTTCAAATGTATTCCTATAGTCAGTCCCTCTGCATCTAAGGCAGACAAAAAGAAGTTATGTAGTTGCCTTGAAGATTTCTCATGTCACTTTTCATTATTTGAAGAAAAAGGGGAGGCTGAGAACACACACAAGCAGTAACAAAAGCCAACACTGACATCAAATGAGGACCCCACTTTTGTTGACATGAACCATGTCATACACATAGATGAGAAATGGTTCTATCTCAATCCTGATAAGAGGAGATTTTATCTCCTTCCTAAAGAGGAAGATCCCTACAAGGCACAACAGTTAACAAGATTCAAGCTTAAGGCAATGTTCATGGAAATCATTGGGAAGCCATTGTATGACAGAAATGGGGAACTACTCCATGATGGGAAGTATGGCATATTCCCATTCAATATCAAAGAGAGAGCTAAAAGTCAAGCAAAAATAGAGCAGCAGGCACATGGGAAACAAAGGCACTCTAGAATGTCAACATAAAGGTGATTAGGGAGATGTTACTGACAAAGGTCATACCAACAATTGTGTCTGAATGGCCTGAAAGTCTTCTAAAAAATGTCGTCATTCAATGGGACAATACAAGGCCTCACCAAGTTCCTAGAGATGAGGAGTTCATTGCAGCAACAACAACAAATGGGTTCAACATTCAAATTGTATTCCAACCAGCACAGTCATCGTACCTGATTTGAATGTGTTGGACTTAGGCTTGTTTAGGTCAATTCAGTCTTTGCAATATTAGTCTTTTCCTAGCAATCTAGATGAGTTAGTTGAGAAAGTCATTGAGTCTTATGACACATTCAACCCTAAAGTCAACAAGGACATATGGGTGACTTTGCAAAGATGTATGATAAAAATTCTCAAGGCACAAGGTGGGAACAAGTACAAAATACCCCACATGAACAAAAAGAAACTTGAAAATCTTGGCATTCTGCCAGATCAAGTTGAGGTGAAGAAGGAAATTGTGATGGAGGCTATGGAGTACCTGAACACTATGTTTAGGCCAACAAATCAGAGCAATCAAGATGTAGCAGAAGATATGGAGGTAGATGCAGACTAGGGGACTCATCAGAATGGAAAACAAGACAAGAGCAACATGGACTGCCAATCTGCCACACATAACCATTTAGGGTTTTTTTTTCAACTCTGTGTGAATGAATAGGTGCTTTGGTGTATTTTGCTTATTAGGATGATCCAAACATCTAAGGCAGTCATATGTCACTACAATAAAACAGCTTGATTCCGACGGAAAAAATCTGTCGGAAACTAGCCTTCCGTCGGAATCAGTCTGTCGCAAAACCCTTTGTCGGAAATTCGACCTTTTTCGATGGAATTTCCGTTGAAAGGCTAGTTTCCGACGAAATTCCCGACGGATTTATTTCTGTCGGCGCTGTTTTTGACTTTAATTGAAATTCCGTCGCAATTTTTCGACGAAAATTTCCGTTAGAGTTGGTGACTTTTCCAATGGAAATTTCCGTTGGAAGAGGTATATTCCGACGGAAAATTCCGTCGCAAAAGTCAATAAAAAAAAATAAAAAAAACCCAGACCCACCCCTAACCCTTACCCCACCCAGATCCACCCTGTCCAAACCTCCCCCACCCCACCCACCCACCCTGACCAAATCTACCCCACCCACCCCTTACCAGGCCCCCACCCTGTTGAGCCACCAGCAACCCACCTAACCAACCCCCTAACCCACCCACCCAGATAAACGAAACAAAAAAAAATTACCAAATCGAAAAAAACGTAAATTCACTATTATCCGACTAAAACGTAAAATCCGACTACAAAAAATTACCAAATAAAAACGTAAAATCCGACTACAAAAATTACCAAATAAACAAGATCTAAACCAGTAGATATGAATTTCAATTAAAAAAAAAAACGACAATTCACTATTATCATTAAAAATATCTAATAAATTTATAAACTACAATTACAATTACAAAAATAATTAACTATATTCATAAATGTTCAAAAACAAAACAAGATCTACAATTTAACCTTAACTAAAACTAGATCTACAAAAAAACCTTGGTGTTGTTGCGACGGTGGTCATTGTTTTGTGGTGGTGGTGGTGTTGTGGAAACCTTGAGATGCTCGCGCGGTGGTGTTGTTGCGGCGGTGGTTGTTGGTTGTCGGTTGTCGGTGCTGCTGGTGTCCTTGGTTGTTGGTGTTGGTGCGGTGGTCGAAGAAGAAGAAGGAGAAGAGGAAAGAGGACGAAGAAGGAGAAGGAAGGAGAAAAGGAAAGAGGACGAAAAAGGAGAAGGAGAAGAGAGAGAAAGAGTGGGCGGAGGAGAGAGAATGAAGGAGGAGAGGAGGTCAGAGAGGAAGAGAAGAGGAAAGAGGAGAGGAGAGGAGAAAGAAAGAGAAGAGAGGCGAAACAGGAGGAAGAGAAGGAGAGAGAAAGAGAAATGAGAAGGAGAGAGAACCGGTTAGGGTTTGGTTTTTTTATATTATTAAATTTCGACGGAATATTCCGTCGGAATCTTCCGACGGATTTTAATTCCATTGGAAATGTAATTTTCTGACGGAATATTCCGTCGAAATCTTCCGACGGATTTTAATTCTGTCGAAAATGTAATTTTTTGACGGAATATTCCGTCGGAATCTTCCTACGGAATTTAATTCCGTCGGAAAACCCTTATATTCCAACGGATTTTTATTCTGTCGAAAATCAGACGAAATGAAAATCCGTCGGAATTTCTGACTTTTCCGACAGAATTACGTGTACGTCAGAAACTGTCCGTCTGAAATCGGCCTATTTCTAGTAGTGTGTAAATTCTTTTGATCATGTTTTGGTCCATATGTAGCCACATTTTGATTGGAATTAAATGAAAATATTTTTTGTTGTGTGGGCAATAAATCCATCAGAAGAGTGTGTATGATTGTTGAATACAACACTTCAACTAAGGTTACCTCAACAACAATCTCAATACAGAAATTGTTGGAGCAAAACTCTTGTTTGAAGTGAAATTCAATGAAGTCCTTTCATCATTTGGAATAATGAAATTTTTTAGCGCATCATTAAGATTGAATTTTACATCAGTACCGACAAACTCGAATGTTTAGCTAACTCTAAATCACATCGAATCCAATGGATTGGACTAAAGTCTAGCTCACTGGCCCAATCCCATTATTCTTGTGCCTAGATTAGGAAGAGAGCACTTTGATATAAAATTCCTAGTTTACTACCCTCTCATTGCTCGCATCTAATCATGTAAGTCAGAGTCCTAAAACTACATTATTACCCATAATTTGTCCATCAACAATTTTTATATGGTCTTACTTTTACAAGTGCATAATCATTTGATCAAGTTTCTTGGACTTATTATGCTATGGGTACACATGGGCCCAATCTGGGCGGCCCCTCTTAAGCCACAAACCTAGATTGTTAGAAGCCAAACTGTGTGTGACGACGAGGAAAAGGGATACAAGATTCGAATATGGGAGGTGTGGGGAAAAAAAACAATGCTTTAACTAGCTTATAATACCTCTTATGTGACTTGCTATACATCAAGAGTAAGCGTCATAATTTCATACTTCGTATAATAGTTAAAAGTAGTCGTAAACAAGTTCTCATTCTAAAAGGTCGCTCTTTTAAATTATGTTCCCCCTGGTAAAATCATCAAATTTTACTAAGAAAGAAAGGTTAGCAATTAACTGCCATTGACAATTGACATCTTTCCCTCCAAAAACTATTAAATCAACAACACTAATTGGATCAAATATGTCGTAAGGAATCACCATAATTAACATTGTAGACCCTGTGGGCCGGGGTTCTCATCAGATCCATAAGCCAAAACAGTAGGTCCTCTACACCTGCTGGATCAAAGGTTCCTATAGTTCATACAGCTAAGTTGTAAATTCAATACACTCATCAAGGTTCAAGGTGCATCCCTTATCTTTTAGACAAATGATTGACAAATCTCTAAGAATGGATCCATGTGCACCAAGGCATTTTAAAGTAAATTCTGGTATTTTTTGGATTTATTTTTTTCCCTGTACTAAAGTGGGTAGCATTAGGAAGAAAATAAAGCTAAGAGTGAACTCTGAAATTTACTTCTCCTAAATCTTATTTGCACTCTAATGCTTAATTAAATTTCTAGGACCGTGGTGTCTCACTCCTATAGGATCAACTTCGGAAAATTAAAACTTGGGGACTACAAGGAGTTAACTATACTCGGAAATACCTTTCTTTATTTCCTGCAAAGAATGGGTAAAAGAGATTGAATAATAAAATGTTGACAAAGGAAAGAGGGAAATTGATTGGTCATTAAAGCTTAGAAAAAAACAAAAAACAAAACAAAAAAAACAAACAAACATAGTAGCAGGATGTGAATTACAACTATCATAGCCATGTCAAGGAATATGGCAAAGGACTACATTAGCGACTAAAACTAGAAAATAAGGTACTTATATAGCAACTTGCACTACAGTTCAATTACTTTAGCCTACCCACACAAATGTGGAATGCTTGTACATAAAATCATTGACAAGAAGGGCTTCCTCCATCCCCTACCTAAAAAGGGGCCATTCACATAAAATTACATATACATAACAACAAGCTTTAATTTGAAATAATGAACACATTAAAGATTCAATGTACGAGACAAGAACAAATAATTTTTCTGCCAACAAATTAAAACATTGTCCTCTGTGCTTCAACAAGGGGTACAATATGTAGTAATAATGCATCTACCCAGTAAGGCAAGGCCTACCATACGATATGCACTCAGACTTAATTTCATCTTTAAATCCATGCATGAGATCATCTAAAGTAGCTATAATTTATATGACATTCATAAACTACGCCCTAATCTAATTGAAGATAGAAATGGCTACCAAATTAGCAAAAAAATACTGTGGGTGTACCTAGCTCAAGATTCACCCAAGTGTGGATTTTGCAGTGTAAAAAACAAGGAATAATAATAAATGCACCCATGGAAAATGAGGCAAACCCATATATTATATAAGGCAACTTATTGGCTTAAAAATGTAACCAGTGATTTTGCTCAAGTCAGTAGTCATGCAAGGGGGAAGGGAAGGAGAAAATTAAGGCACACCACATTTTGTGGAATGGCTTACAACTAGTCTTACTTTGTTAAGATAATGTGGCACTACATTCAAAGTTAACAGGTAAGGCTACAAGGGGAAAGTTTGAGATAGACAGTATGAAAATATTTTCAAAGATAATGGCTAACCTGTCCTCTCAAGAGCTTCTTTTTCCGTTCAAAATCCTATATATACAACATGATCAGGTTCTATTGCATGTGGTAGAAAATTCTTCCTGTTCATCAAAAATTAAATGTTAAACAATTTGAAAGGAGGTTCATTGTAAATACAAAGAGATGCATGCACTTTAAAGAAGTTGTAAGGATAGTGTGCATCAAGTGAAAATTTATAAAGTTAAACAACCCTGGCGAATTAGTCAACAATAGAAAATTTAATGAAATGTTTGATCAAATTTAAATCCTCACTAAAGTAATACAATCAATATCAATATCAATATCAACATAATCCAATGCCCCTAAAGAGGATCCATCTCGGGTGAGATGAGGTGTTTGGATGTATCGCAACTTTACATAGAGGCTGTTTACACTTGACCCTAGATCTAGCAACAATTTTCTACCACTTTACAGTAAATAAGTGTGCATGTTTTATTAAGCCATATAATCCTGTTTTACAGAATTGATACATTCCTCAAAGATCAACGTTTTACCTAAAAGGTTAATACTGATTTAGTATTCACATACTTTCTCCTCGTATCTCTTCACATAATAGTTAACAAAGCAGTCTACATAAAATACGGAGTAATGTTTTAAGTAAAGCTGCAGAGGAATAGACAATTACAAATTTTTCAAGACCTACCAAATCACTGGTTATATATTTAGATTAAATTTCTAATCTCAAAAGATAATATTTTATGTTTAATTAATTTTAATTTTAAAATCTCATTCCTCAATTTTGCTTATGTGGCATTTGAATTATTTATTTTTAAAAGAATTTACAAATCTCTTTTTTGATTGGCTAAAGCTAAAATTATAAGGTTACATAAGTTGAGAAAATTAAATTGAAATTAGTAAACAATCTTAACCATTATTTCGAAACATAAACAAAAAAACATTGACCTACAAGACTCCAACCCAAATATTCGCTTACCTCACTTTTTACATCTCATGCATATCTTAAGTTTAATCAATAATCCAAATTTCAGATTCCAGATTCTCTCTCACTCCCTCACTTTGCCTTTCTAGCCCCTCTTTATTTTCTCTCAATTTCTCAAAAAAAAATTTCTTGTAAAAAATTCTAAAATACTTTTCATGTTTTTCCCCCCCTGACAATTGGTTTTTTGAGCATGAAATTCGGGAAAGAATTTCGAACCCATTTAGAAGAAACTCTACCAGAATGGAGAGACAAATTCTTGTGCTACAAACCCTTGAAAAAGCTGCTTAAACGATTCCCATATACAATTTCTTCTGTCAATACTAATACTAATACTAATACTAATAATTCTAATATTAATAGTAGTAATAATAATAGTATTAATACTCATAGTCGTCAACTGGGTGTTGGAAATTATGAAGTTGGTGGGCCCAGTGTTGAGTTTGATGATGGTGGTGGTGGGTCCAGTCGCAGTCGCAGTACAACTGAGAGATCCATGACATTGGAGGAGTTTCAAGATTGGTTTGTTAGACTTCTCAATGATGAACTTGATAAGTTGAATGATTTCTATGTTGAGAAAGAAGAAGATTTTGTCATCCGTTTTCTGGTTTGTATTTTCATTATTTTTTGGGTTAATTTTGATTGATTGTTGTTTATGAATGTTTTTATTGATTAGATTTTTTGTGGGGTTGTTGAATTTTGACTGATTTGAGTGTTGTTAGTAAGAAATTTAGTGTTTTGTTGAGGTTATTGAAGTTTGATTTATTGATTGTTAGTGGGGGCATACTTAGATTAGGTGTTAGATAATTAAGTTTGATGGATGCATTAGTGGAGTATGGAAGTGTGTACTGAATCTTTGGAACGATTTGTTGTCGAAGGCGAGATAGATTTGTGAATTACTGAATTGGTGAAGATTGTTTATGTTGGATGAGAACTTTCAATTGTAGTTTAGTATAATATAGAGAGATTTATCAAAAAGTGACAATATTTTGGGAATTCAATGATTTAATAGCATTATTAATGGAAATAGCTCAAGAATTTTGGTATTAATTAGAATTGATCATCCTAAATAGGTGATTCTGTGTTGATTGGTGTGTATGACATACATTGTCATTGAGGAGTCTGAACGTGGGACAGTAGTTTAGTGGACCTTATCTTGAATTTGTCCAACTGATGGAGAATGAAAAGAACAGCTTAATAGAGAATCAAGTGCTTATAGTATCAACCCATATCCGAGAGTCTAAGTAACATAGATCACCCATTACTAGCATTAACCATTAGCTCATAGAATCAATTGAGTTGCATGAAAGCTTTAAATTTGTAGCTGTTAAACCTTTATCTTTGAAACACACGCACGAGTTAAAAAAAAGTTTTATGCGTAGGAGATGAACAATTGCATAAAGAGTGACATAAGTCATTAAGCATATAAACCTTCATAGATTACAAATTTGTAAGGATTGTCCTTGGTAGAACCGTAGAACTGTAAGTGATCAACATGAGTTAAATCACATGTACTCTTTAAATGGTAACTTCTGGAAATCCGAAGTACTCAAATTGTTAAGCTAATTAAACTGGCACTATATTACCTTTAATAAGAAATTCAAATAAAATTTAGCAAATGGAAAATACAGCAGAACTGCAATTTATAATGTTGAGAGGTTGACATGAAAGTAGGTGAAACAAAATAGGAAATCAAGTAAGAAGGTAAAAATGGCACAGCCAATCAGGAGTTCAGAGTGGGTATAATTAAATCAGTTGTAGTATACAAGCCATTTGAGCAACAGATACTGTGTCATGTTCTGTTACCACTGATTTTCTGGGCTTGGATTTTATGTGTAGACATCTCCTATATTTTATTTCTTTTTCAAGTGAGACTTCACAGGAACTATTACTCATAAAGCCTTATTCCACAATTGTTGGTTTCACGGCATCATAAATGCCATGCCTTTTGGTATGCTTCTTGATTCTATTAGAGGGATTTGTGCATTTTTTTGTAAGCTTCATCAGCTCACTGTTTGTTGATTGCCAAGCTACTATTTCCTTGTGAGGTTCAATAATTGCATTTTTTACCATCCTAGTGTTTTGACTGGTGGAGTTGAAATGTATTGAGGCGGGTTTGATCATAGGCAAACACTTGCTTCTCTCATCCATCTCCTTACACTCTCTTTTAATTTACCGAGGGGTTTTTAGGAACCTCTCCCACATCTTGTCTTCATTTGCTGTCATTCCTACTTGTTGCATATTTTTCTTCTCATTGCGTGTATTGCTGCTGTAAATGTCATACCACTTTATATTTCATGCTGTCCATATATTTTTCTGCTTGCCACTTCCTCTGAAATGGTTGAGGTCTTTTTTTTCTTAGTTTTACTCTTAGTTTTTACCCTTTTGGCAAGTATTCTTTGTCACGTACCAAGTGTTTTTTTTTTTTTTGAAAGAATATACCAAGTGTTTTAAGTGGTATTATGTTAATTTTTTTATCTTTAAGAAATTAAGAAGCTAAAAATTCCAATACTGACCCATTCACTTGCTCCACCCATGGTGGAAATCCTTATAAATCTCACCATTTCACTTTAGCTCACTAATACCCTTCTTCCTCACTTTTAGCTTTGAGTTGGCGTGCCATTTTTTATTTTATTTTTATAAATTTTTTAATACTCTGAATGGCTCAGTAGTCTTTAAAGCTCATAATCTTGATTTAGTGTATGTCTCTAGAATATATAAAAACTGGAGAATAACAAAATGATAATGATGAAAGCATCTTATGTTTTCATGTGAAGCAAGGAAACTCTTTTATAGACCAGCTTGTCTATAGAGATATGGACCCATTTGTTGTCTTATAAATTTGCATATTATAATGAATAATGCTGAAGGTGGAAAGTGTTGAGACTGACTTTGTATTACTTATTTATTTATCTTTTTTCATACTTCACTATGGTGTAGTCGACACTTACCTTATACAAGGCCTTTGTACTTCAGTAGCTCAATCATTATTCACTTGGATAGAATGACTAAATGATTTTGCTAACTAGGTGAACATCTTTGAGGAAAGGGAAATCAATTATATGAGGTTAGGAAATGAGAATAATATGTGACCATTTAAGCTTTTAAGGGCCAAACCAAAAAATTAAACAAGTTGAAACATGAGCAAGGAATGAAGATTTTGAGGTGTCATCTCAATTCCAAATAGGAGGCAGGGGGAAGTGATAGCTACATATTTGTAGGCTAAACAAGAAACAAAAGCTTTTTTGTGGAAACAAGTGTGTACTTATTGGCAGATAATTCACAACTTTCATGCATAGTATATGTCTATATTACCGATGATATTTTGTGAAATAAAATTCTTACACATATCTAGCAATGTAAAAGGCTCAAGGCACCTAGGAAGCATGGAAACTACTGCTGAAACCCCACCGTTTTGTAATGGACTTGAGCTTGCTGGACTCTCACGCACACAATTAACACAGAAAACAGAGAGAAAAGATCGAATCTTTGATTGAAAATATTGGAAACAGGGATTTGTACAAGCTAGCAACTTTAGGATGCCAATTTCTATTTTCTATTAGTGACTTTAGGTCACGCTCTCAAAATAGTGTCTTGAGGTCACAACTCTCCCAAGGGTTCACTCCAAAATTCTGCCTGCTCTTCCTTTCTCCTCTCGCTCTATTTATAATAAAATTAAAGACTATTAACCTCAATATACTAGACTACCCATAGTGCCCCTCCTTAGGTTAATTTATTACACGTTTCCATGTTAATGAGGCCCAAGATGGCTAGGACATAAGGTTTTCCCATTCTAGTTATCAAAACCCAAGTTATTGTCTTCCTACATTTATTTAAAGGTTCTCTAAGATGATATGGATTGGTGTGCACGTTTTTTGTGCCTTAGTACACACCAATGTGCACTTAATATGTCCTCCATTTCTTTACCTTTGAATCACTTTGACTTCTGTACTATTCACACATTCTACTTTGATTGACTATATATGGTGATTTATACACAAAGAAAGAAATAGTCATGTGGGATTTTTTTTTTCATATTTAGTTTGTATTTTCAAACTATCTACTCTTAGCAATTTCTACTTATAAAAAAGATTAAAAGTTATTTATGGTTGAAATTATGCATTGATAACACATGAAAATGGATGTCTTGCAAGTACAAACACTAACTAATAAGTAAAGATGTTGGTTACAGATTTCAGTTGTGAGCCTTATTGAAATAGCCTCACCTCAACTAATAAAATTTCATGATCCATATTGGGCTACTCAGTAGGTGTAGGCACCCCGTGCACCTCTGTATACACAGATGTGGATAACTTTATTTGCTTACCTGCCTCCTCCTTAGTAAGTTGGAAGCTCCAATAATTTGATGTAGTAGTAAATTGAGTAAAATCAGATTTCTTCTTTTTAATGGACGAATCTTGTAATGCAAGTAAATTTTGAAACAATCTTCTAGTGGGAGCCTCTAAAGCAACGATGTGACTATGTATGACCATGTTACATTTGCTTTTATCTTTGTAGGTGAGAGGGATTATATGGGTTTGTAATATAGTCACACCTATGAGTGGGAATTGCATTTTATTTATCCCTGGATACGTAGTTTATCATCACAATTTCACGAGAGAAACATTTTATCGAGTGAAAGCTTTGAACATATGACCTCCCTAGACCCTGTCTCTCTAGAGTTCATGCTAGGTTGTTGATTTGGTTTATGTTGGACTTTTATACACTTGGAATTCTCTTGAAATACACTTACATAGACACACTCTGGCGGACTTGTAATGGCTGTTGTATTTGATGCCTCTTTGACTAGGAAGGTGCACGCATTGGCTACTAAGATACAAGCTTTCAAATTAAAAAAGAAAAGAACTGGCACCATTTCTGGTAACCTAAAGAGTATTACACACAGAATTACATGTTACTATGTAGAAGTGCCTGGAATTAATTAGATTAGTATTACCAGAAACTCTTTAACTTTGTATTAATAGATGAATCTTATAGTAAGACGTGCTTTATAATAACGTTGAGTAAATTACTTTGGTAGTATTCATAGTGTATTTAGCAATACCTTGTAGATTTCCAGTGCATGACACTTGGATCATTGGGTGTGCAGGATGGTCCGAATTATGACTGAGGTTATGCTATTTGAAATATGTAGTCCTTTGTATTGATTAATGGATTTTGCATGATACATGTAAGTATGTAACACATACTGAGTGTACCAGGATTAAATGCACCTTTGTCATTCTCCTCTTCCTACCTTTAGCGTGAGTTGGCTGCTTGCTTGTTGACTTACATGTTGCCTGCCCATATATATGTTATGTTTTCCCTGGTGCCTTAAGTTTAATTTTATGAATAAGTGCATCTTTACCATTTCCCTGTCATTCCTTTATTCTGAGTAGGCTGATGTCTTAATTACTTGTTGCCTGCATGTAGTCAGTTGAAATAGCTGTGATTTATGCGTCATATCCTATGGATGTGTATTAAACAGTTTCATATTCGATTTGTTAGAAGTTTCGTGATGTTTTTTTTGGGGGGTGGGGGTGGGGGAGGGGCATTTGTTACTCATTTCCAAAGTCCCAAGTCCTTAAAACCTAATATAAAAGGCCCACCAACCACAAGCAGTTTAGAAGTAACAGGAAAAAAAGCTTGAAATTAAAATTTCCCCTAGAAAGATTTCAAAATCAACAGGGGAGCAATAAACTCACGAAATATGGAGATCATGGACAAGCAAAGAACAGTTACTCCAGCAGCAGATTTTAGCCTCTGAGTTTATCCAACGGCCCCCTTCGAACCTATCAAAGCTATAAAAGGAAAGAGGCTCTTCAGAAAAAGGGCATCAACAAACGCAGACTTGCATTCAATAGTTTTTTAGTCTTTCTCTAGTGCTCGCTTTGCCTCTAGGTTTAGTGGCCTAGATTAGTATAAAATTAGTAGTAGTTTTTCAAAATGTTAAAACTCTTTCAGAAGTCCGAAGCATTCTCACTAAGTTTGTTTTGGAGGTAACTCCTTTATTTGTTTGCAATTGTCTAGAACGATTATCAATGTGCTCTTTTTTGCGTCCAGTTGTTGCATGTGCTCCTATTTATACGTAGTATGGGGGATTTAAGATACACAGCCTTGCCATTGCTCAAAAGATGTGTCCATTGAATCACAGGTATTTTTAAAGCCATGACCATGTAGTTGCTTTTGCCAAAAAGAAATTGTAGAAGTGATTGTCAAAGGCTATTTAAAATCGAGAAGATGCACATTGATGTTTATACCTTCTGCTTTCAAGTTTTTACTTGCATAATTTTCAGATACCTATTGTATGTAACATGTGCTTAATATTGCTACAGGAATTAAAAGAAAGAATTTTAAGGGTAAGGGAGGACAGAAGGGATGAAATTCCAGCATCAGAAAGTGAATTCAGTGAGGAAATGATGGATATACGCAAGGAGTTTGTTACTATACATGGAGAAATGGTGCTTTTGAAAAACTATAGCTCCCTCAACTTTGCAGGTACAGTGGCTATATCTTTTGCTTTACCTATGGGTTACTTTTTTTGATTCATAAGGTGGTGTCACTCATGATAGGGAGATGCTGCTTCCCGAAAGTATACCTCCCTAAATTTTACAGGTATAGTCAGTATGTGTTCCAGTCATGCTGAAGATATTACGCAAAAAAAATTAATAACTAACTCCAAAGTGCAACCTGTGGATTATATATTGACAGGACTTGTTAAGATATTGAAAAAGTATGACAAAAGAACAGGAGGATTGCTGCGGCTTCCTTTCACACAACTTGCAGCACATCAACCCTTCTTCACTACAGAACCTCTTACTAGATTAGTTCGAGAATGTGAGGCTAATCTTGAGCTTCTTTTCCCTCTAGAGGAGGAAGTCACTGAATCAACTTCTGCTCCTCGGGACCAAAACCAAGTAGATCCTGCCGTCTCTGATGCAACTAATATGCCTTCTGATGCATCATCATTAGGGGAAGCGAGCCAAGATATATACCGGAGTACTCTTTCTGCAATCAAAACCATACAAGGCCTCCGGACAAGTTCAACCTATAATCCGTTGTCCTTTGCAGTGATATTTAGGGACCAAAATGATGAAGGTAGTGGAGCTGTAACTAATGAGAACTCTCCTTCCAACAGTAGCCATGCACCACCATCAGAGAATGAGGAAACTGTTGACCAAGCTGATGCTGGTTTGACTCCATGAATGTTGGAAAGCCTGCAGCTTTTTGCTAACAACTTAGTGTAACTCCCCAGCAGATGGAGCCTCTGTACCATTGAACACAACACATACTGAACATTTGGGCAAAACCCTAAATGTTGAACAGAAACAGCTTTTGTTTTGTGTATTTTTTAATATAGCCACGCTGCATCATAATTACAAGTTAGCAAACTATAGTGATGACAACAATGAAACTGCTTCCAAATATTAGTGGATGCTATGTTATAACTTTGTTCTCAGTCGGATATCAATGTAGTTTTAATTTATGTTCAGCTGAGATTTTTTTTCCCTCTGCTAGTTCAGTTTACTGTCACAAAAGCCCTTTTTGATAACAATACTATACTAATATACTAATACTTGTGCAAGTTTGAGTTTGTTGTAGAGTTGAGTTTATTGCTTGAACATTATATATTTGATTATTACAGGAATAACCGAATAATGGTACCACAGCAAGTTTTTTACTTGGTATATGGGTTTAATATCAGTATTTTTTTTTTCCTTTAAGCAGTTCATGGGTGCCATGTAAACACATTGTAGGGGATAAGATATGTGATTCCTCCCCTTAGTAACTCAAGGAATTTGGTGTGCATTGCGTATACACTTTAACTATACATAAAGAACAAGATACTTACAAGTAGATTTGAAACTTACTTAGAATATGGAAACCAAAGAAGACATCATATAGAAACCATTATAACATGAAACTTCTCTCTTTTATCTTGCTTAATCACAAGTTATCATCAAATACACGAAATCTACTTCCTTTAAAACCTTCGATTTATTTCTACTACCTTCGATTTATTTCTACTTCAGCTGAACAATCATCTATGTATAAGTGCATTCAATAAAACATACAACGTAGAGTCAACATGCAATGCAATTATATTTTGGGACAAACGACTCAATTCCAATTAAAAGATATGAATAAGCTCATATTTTTTTGCTACTTGACATAATAAAGTATCATAGATCACAAATCACAATGAAGACATTATATGCTTCATCATCTTTATGCAATAGCACCTAACAAATTATATCTAGACAACTTGTAAAATATCGATAAAACATGTAATTTTCAAACTAGTAACCTAGGACAAAGAAATTCACGTGAAAATTTATATTATTCTAAAAATTCATTTTAATTGCAAATATGATGTGCCACCATGTCATTTAGGGAGATACAGGCAATGTGTGGCTTATTATGTGTTATATCATCGACGATTTATTGTCGTGTTAGCTTTAGAAAGTGTGGGTGACAACAAAATAATATTAGGGGGGATGATCACGTTGGAGGAAATACAAGTTTATCTCCGTGATAAATAAAACTTGTCAAAACTTGTTTATCACGAAGACAAAAGTGTAATTTTTGAGGTAGCGGTTTTGCCTTATAATCGCTGCTTCAAGTAGCGGTTTCTGCTACTTCAAATAGCGATTTTGCTCAAAACCGCTAAAACGAAATTTGTTTATCACGGAGATTAACTAGGGCAGCCTCATCATATTATTTGATTCAGGTCATATCTGAGTATGAATTCTTTCATTTTTTATATAAGTCAAGTTGGTTTGTTAGGTAAGTTTCACTTGGAATAATTTCAGATCACAAATTTTGTAACTTACCCATATCCAATACTCGACCCAAAAGAACTGTACCAAAGCCTGAACAATGGTCGAAAATACTTCACCCAAATTTTAAACAAACACGACCCAAGTCAACCCGACTCAAACCGACCTGACAATTAATACGTAGTATATAAAAATGACTCAACTCAAATCAAACCTGTAATAAATAAAAATTAGACTAACTTAAAACTTTATCCAGACAACCCGATTGTCACTTTTTAATTGTGTGACGTGGTCCAAAATAACAACTCGCAAGGAGAGTCCGTGAGGCGCACCAATTTGTGTCTCCCCCCTTGGCCCTTGCTCTTTACATTGAAAACGAAACACATATCTCTATCTTGCTCTCTACGAAATCACCTGCTTTTCTACATTTTCTAAGTCCGCCTTTATAACTTTGTAGCACAAAGCAGCAAAAATACACTCACACAAACACAACCAAACCAAAATTAGAGGAGAGAGAAAAAGCAAAGCAAAGCAAAGCGAAAATGAGCAGCATCGGAACAGGCTACGACCTCTCGGTCACTACTTTCTCACCCGATGGTCGAGTTTTCCAGATCGAGTACGCTGCTAAGGCTGTCGATAACAGCGGTACTGTTGTTGGCATCAAATGCAAGGATGGAATTGTTTTGGTAATTTACCTTTTTTAATGTTTAAGTCGAGATTAATTATTGTTTTTAGGGTTTTAATTGGTTGATATTTTGATTTTGAATTTGATTTTGATTTGAATTTGTGAATTATATTGAATTTAGGGTGTGGAGAAGCTTATACAGTCGAAGATGATGTTACCGGGTTCGAATCGACGAATTCATTCAGTTCATCGTCACTCTGGAATGGTATTTTCTATCCCTTTTTGTACTGTTTTTGAACTAAAATTAGGAATTGGAATGGAATCTGTTAATGTGGAGGATTAATTGCATTTCAACTCTCTTTGCCTTGTTATTTCCAGCTAGTTTATTAAACCTGAGAGTATGAAACCTTTAAGTTTGTCTTTGATTACTTAGTTACGGAGTGCCATTATTTGGTTTTGAGGTGTTATCGAGCTTGTTTCATTGGCTGGTTTGGTTTTGTATCTCTTGTTCGTTTCGTTACGTGGAAGTGGGAAGGATCATTTTGGCTGTTAGGTTATGTGGCGATACTGATAGTTTTGGGATGATAGTGAAGTTAAGGCTGCCTGGGTGGTGATAATGAGTTATGGAGTCGAGGGTATATGATACCCATGGGAGGCGTAAGGTTTTAGTAAGGAGGACCGAGATTTATTATACATAAGGAGGGAGTGGTTTTTCATTTTGTTTCTGCAGACACAATAACAGTGAGTGAAGCCAAATGATTCTGTAATCTGTGCTTCGTTGGCTGTTCAAATTTCTTTACTTCGTTTATCATATGCTCTAGTGTAGGGGCATTGGACAATCTTTTAGTGTTAGTCTTATAAGGAACAAAGAGAAATGTATTTGGTGGCTGGAGTAGCAGCTGTATACTTGATGCAATTTGGGGAAAGAGACTAGGTAACAGTGCCAGTTGATGGCCTAGAAGAGGCAAAATTATATGGGTTTTTAAAAGGCAATATCTTTGGTTGTTTGATATGATTGTCTGAATCTTTAGGAAAGAGTTAGTGAACTTGCTGATGATCAGACCTTGAGAAAATAAGATTTTTATGTTAGTCCGTCCCAAAACGTCTCTCTTTCTACTTATATGCTGAACTATCCAATTTATATTCTGCATAAAATGAAATTCAATTTAAAGGTTTGATATAGTGGTGCTGTACTTAAGGGGTTTGTACAAAATATTTAGCAGTAGTTGTGATTTATAGAGATGGGATTAAAGATTCCTCTCTCTCTCTCCTCTTACTAGACTGTACATCTCACCAACCTCACTTGTTCTCAATTGATGTCTTTGTACTCTTTGTGATTTTGGCCTAGTGCTTGGTCCATAGCTAACTAGTTTACTGATAGTATTATGGGTTTTAATTTTTAGGGTTATTAGAGATTATCTATGTGTGTAGGTTAGGTAACTTGAGTACTTGACAACATCAAAATTCACTGTTGGATCCATACTTTTACATTGGCCAGTTTTTGTTGTTGTGGTGATTTATTCAGAGTGGGTGGGTAAAAGGGGGGATAGAGGGAGGAGTATAGCAAAAGGCACAAAGGTATGAAGATCTTGCAGATGAAATGATGTTTAGAATCTGATGAGCTTTTGATGACAGGGAAAGGATTTTGAAGATTTTATTATTTTTTAATGTTGGTTTTTTTTATCCCCCTCCCCCCCCCCCCCCACACACAAAAAAAAAAAAAAAAAAAAAATGATGGATGAGATTTAAGTGTGTTGAATAAAAGGTAGATTAAAGCAAAAGATGGGGTACACAATTCCTAGCATGTGAGGTTTTTTAAGTTCTATATTTTGCTTTCATTTGTTGACTTTGTTCATGGCCTGATATCTCTTTCAAGGATTACTTTCACTTCTTTGGTTCTTTAGCAATGTTTCTTTTTTTGCTATCTGACTGTGTGGGTTATTAGACTATGTAACTAATCTAATTCTTAGCACCTTTTTCCATTTTCATTATGTGTATATGTCTATTTGTTATTGTTTTTTTCTCCCAGTTGTGTGTATTTGCATTTTCTCACCCTTCCAAACTTGCCATTTCTTTGTTTGTATAACAGGCAGTTGCTGGATTAGCAGCAGATGGAAGGCAAATAGTTGCTCGTGCTAAGTCAGAAGCTACAAATTATGAGAGGTTGGTAATGATACGTGCTTATGCCTATGTCTTATGTGATCATATACTCATTCGGCCTAGTAATTTTTAACTGTCTTTTGGTAGTTTGTAAGCTGTAGTTTGGCTTTAGTAATTTATCTTGTGAAATTCACAAAGGTAGCCTCATACATTAGCTGTTGATATTTGGTAACCTGAAAAAGTAACCGAGTAATTTTAATTAGTGGCGATGGAGTAGCTGTTTATTTATTAGTTTGAGGTAACTATGACTATGTATGTTTATGCTAGCAAAATTGTATTAACCTCAAAAGTTGGTCACCACCGCTATGTGGCACATGATATTTTGCTCCCCAAATTATACTTTAAATTATTTTATTTTATTATTATTCCCCTCCAATTCTATTCTCTTTCTCCTTTTATAGTCCCCTTCCCCTACTTACACCACTAGCAGTCCCCCTCCCTGACCTTTACCTAGCCACCACTGCTCCCCTCTCCCTAGCACCACCACCACCATTTCCACAATAACCCCCACTTGGGTAACATATTTACAATTTGCTTGCTATTTTCATGAAAGCTAACTCTGGAAAATACTCTTCTGTAGTACCTATGGTGAAGCTGTCCCGGTGAAGGAACTTGCTGACCGCGTTGCTAGCTATGTGCATTTATGCACACTCTATTGGTGGCTCAGGTGCTATAGAATATGCCATAATTTAAATCACTATGAATTTTTTGCCCCTACATATGTTTAAGTCTTGTTAGTGATCTTTGATGATTCGTGGTGCAGACCTTTTGGATGTGGAGTCATTCTTGGAGGTTATGACAGAGATGGACCTCAATTATATATGGTTGAGCCTTCTGGAATTTCATATGTAAGTTAACAGGTTTATGCTTCCACTTTCTTTTGCATTTTTAGAGTTAAATTTACACTTTTATTTTGTAATTGCTCTGCTAGCTCTATGCTTAA